TTGTGCGTGTGTTTCGTTTTGAAACTACCTGTGTCTATTAGAAGTGATGTTTCTCCTCTCAAGAAAAAAAATAAAATTAAACGTAATGAATATCTTTAGTATCTTGGTCAATGATATATCATCAATGACAATATCTTCGACGTGATCTTTGCTAAGTGGTAGATATTGTTCACTCATTAACAGACGATCATTAGCACGAACCCAACCCTTGCCCTGAATTTTGTCAAGAAATGTTTTATTTGTAAAACTAACAAACTATATATCATCCGATGCAGTTTTTCACGCTGATTCCGAATATGTATATATTGTTCAAATAAGTAAAGACGAAAAATTTCTATAAAACCTCAAAAACTGAGGTTTTTGGAAAACCTGTAGATCCTCAAAGAATGGGTTGGGTGATTTTGGGAGATCACCATTGATTCAGCATATGTTAAGGAACATTTTTATGAAAAAGTATTGGCGATTTGATTCTGGCGCGCTACGGCGCTGTCATTTTACTGAAGAGGGCTTATTTTCATTAGAGTTATTTTAATTCAAGTTTTTTTCTGCCACTAACTATAATTATTTTTGAAACTTTTTTCAAACGTTTCAATAGCTCATTCCAAGTGCTTTCAGAATCTGGAGTGATTTGCCTCGACACTAGATTTCATTTGGGAAAAAAGTGACTTTTATTAGTGAATACTCAGTTTCAACGGGAGGTTTTGATATGTGAATTTTTCGAGAAGCAAAAGTTGTAGAAGAAAAATTCTTTCGCCATCACATTGGCCGTCGTTCGAAGTATACTACTCACTAATAATAAACATAAAAAGTGAAATTTGCGTTTTATTGCCAAAAGAAGGCCTGGATGCCCGCTGTGGTACGGTTATGTAATTAATGCATTTCTAAAATCATTTTTTCATGCCAGACAAGCAAATTTCTTCTGGCATTTTTTGGGTTCGTGCTAATGATCGTCTATTAATGTGTGAACAATATCTACCACTTAGCAAAGATCACGTCGAAGATATTGTCATTGATGATATATCATTGACCAAGATACTAAAGATATTCATTACGTTTAATTTTATTTTTTTCTTGAGAGGAGAAACATCACTTCTAATAGACACAGGTAGTTTCAAAACGAAACACACGCACAAGCAGGATCACGGGAACAAGTATAAAAAAACTATAGGAATATCGCAGTGGATGTTCCCCCGCTTCCTTTGAAAATCTAGTTTTCGAGAAGTCTTCTGCAAAAGGAAAGTGGAAAAACAATGAGTTTGAAATAAGAAACTTAACATGTAAATCGTATAGTCGTAATGTTGTACTAAATATCTACACAAAGTGAAGACGTTTATTTCGTAAAATACTTGAGAGTAGCTGTTTTTCGAGTCTCCTGTGCCTTTTTGCATATATCATAACGTAATGTTGAATGTTATCCTATTATGTTCATTAGCTTGTAACTGTATGTGTATGTTTTTGTACATTTGCTTTCTGATATAATTTTTGAAATCCAAAGTAAGCTTCTTCAAAATCAAATTTTCCATTTGTGTCTGTATAATAATCATCAAGATACTTATCACAAACTAAATCTTCATCTTTTGGACGTAATAATTTCATACCAGGAACTAATTTATGTATTATTTCATGTAATTCATGTTTTTCAATCATTCCCTTTTCATCATTTTTAGAAAATTCATAAAACATTTGAACAAATTGTTTTTCAACATCTAAACTATTTTTGTCATTCAATATTTTAAACATTTGTTCATTAAACGAATTGTTATCTGCTATCTTATTATCAACAATGTCTGACATATTTCTCTTTTACTCTTGCAATATTATGCCTATGATTTTTTTTGCACTGAAATAGTTTTATTGTATGATTTGTAAACGAATTTTAGAGTGAGTGTTCCTAATTTGAACGGAAGAAACGCGTCATGCAGTTTATCCTTTATTTTATATCGATTAAGTGAGAGTTTAATAGACATTTTTATAGTTTTTGAGTGGGGCAAAGTCTCCTGAATCGAACAGTAGAAAAGATTTTAAAATTACACTCAAGTTGAGTGAGTTATGATCGGGAATGTGAGCGGCATTGCAATTGTTCACATTAAGCACCCATTTTCTAATCTAAACAGACAGAGAAATTTTTGTTCCTAATGTGAACAGTTCTATTCAACTACACGCGAAAATAGATGATTCTAAGGTTACGGAGATTCAAAATTCGAGCGCAATTTATTTTTTGAGATATTTATCCATGGTTTGATAGAGCTCGTCGAGCTGAGTAAGGCAATGTAAGCTTTTACCTTCAAAAAAAAAAATTTTTAGTGACGGTAATTTAATAAAACTGAAAATTTGAAAACCTTAAAATATTAAAACTTTAATAGTAGCGAAAAGTACCATATTTTGAAAAAATCACAGCTTTTCATAGAAATGTTCAACAGAGCTGAGAGATATGCCATTCTACAGATAAACACCTTAGCTATAAAATGATATGTGTTTTAGCTTGGTTGTGACCACAATTGCCATGATGCAACAGTTTGAAATCTTGTGGTAATATATGGCAAATTTTTCTAAACATTTTCAAAAAGAAACATAAAACAAGTGGAAAATGTGCAACATTTTAAAATTTTTTTTACTTAACAATCAAACGTTCTCTGAAGCTAAAACACATATCATTTTATAGCTAAGGTGTTTATCTGTAGAATGGCATATCTCTCAGCTCTATTGAACATTTCTATGAAAAGCTGTGATTTTTTCAAAATAAGGTACTTTTCGCTACTATTAAAATAACTCTTGAAGGATTGAACGAGAGAACGAATGGTTTTCAGATTCATAATCAGCATCCTTAAATTAGCAAAGTGGGGTACATTGCTTTGAAATCCCAGGGAAACACTTGGGGACCTTCCCTCGTTAGTACTTCACTCATCTTTCGTAACATAAAAAGTAGTTTAGTTCTATTCTCCGTGAAAAACTGCATCTATAAAATAGAGTTATGGTGTTCTTCAAATATCCTATGACTCTGAAATATTTGAATTTTTACCGATAGTGAAAATCCGGCTGTCGTAGATGGCAAAAGCTTCAAGTCTTTCTAGATAAGAAATGGAGCCGAAAGTTTTATATGGTTAAAATCGTCATATGACCAAGAAAAACGTTACGTATCCTTTTCACGAGAGTTTGTTTCCTTCTTAAGATATTGCAGTTTTGTAAAAGCACTGTGTAAAATCGCGCAAGTCATTTTTCAATTAAATTTAATAAAAAATTGAAATTATAGGCAAAACTATCATAGAATTTCATGAGAAAACTATTAAAAAGTTTGCAACGGGTCTAAGAGGTTTTGGATAACCAGGTTTCAGGAAACCTTTAGAAAACGTTTTTTCATAAAAATTATTCCACAATCATTTATATGGATAAAATAATGAATTTCTAATAAAACGAAACTATTCTGAGTCTGCAGTGATGTTCTTATTACGAATCATACTCTTTGAAGTCACAGCCTTGAAGTTCCTAGAGAAACTGAAATTTCTTAATGATGATGGTGCGCTACACGCTCAAAATAGTTTCGTTTTATTATAAATTCATTACTCTATCCATTTAAATGACTTTGGAATAGTTTTTCCTGAAAAAACGTCTTCAACGAAAAACAATTTTGTTAATCAAATTCTAATGCGGGTTTTTCGAAGGTATTTCTTTCACTTGATATTTTTACCACATTTCTCCCAAAACCCTAGTTTTTCCACAACGTAATCCCAGAGCTTTAAATATAATTGCGTTTCTGTAGACACATTTTCAACGATATCTTTCTAAATCGCGGTTTCTATCGAGACTAGTAGTTTCTTATAAAATGCTCTTGCAATTTCCTTTTTTACATCTCAATTTTCAGGAACACGTCTCAGGTTTTTTTCACATTTTAAGTGATTCATTCGTCCCTTTTTAGACCGGTTTTGTCCGTTTGAACGAAGAGTCTTCATTCACCAACTTATTTCGTCTGAGAAGGCATCGAAGAGAGACTAAAACTAAAAAGTTTCAAATTTTGTTAGGGTCATTCGCATCAGAGCTGACGTGCGGACAGTAGTTCTCGATCCAGAATTAACAATCGCGAGAAACTGGTGTTTGGAAGTCTGCTTTTAGAGGTAAGCTACTCCGAAAAGAAATTTTAATTAATTTGTAATTAAAAAGACAGCGGAACTAAACGTATTTTTGAGTTGAAAGAAAACACATGAACAAAAGGATTTAGTTTCAAACTGGTTTGTGCCGTTGCAGCTTACTAAAGAAAATGACGCGCGAGATTATCATTTTATATTTGAATATATTATAAATATTTCGGTATCATAGGATATTTAAATAATATCGTAACTCTGTTTTTCAGATGCAGTTTTTCACGAAGAATAGAACTGAACCACGTTTAAAGTTACGAAAGATGAGTGAAGTAGAAATTTTCACTTACTTTTAGAATTTTAGCCATCTCTTAAAATTCTAAAATTTTCAGTCTGTTTAAATTATCGTCGTTGTTAAAAGTTTTTTGTTTTGAAGGTTAAAACTTACATTGCCTTACTCAGCTCGACAAGCTCTATCCAATCATGTATAAATATCTCAAAAAATAAATTGCGCTCGAATTTTGAATTTCCAGCACCTTAGAAAACTTTGCTTTCTGTATCAAAAAGTTTGTTTTTAAACTTTAACTCTCATCTCCCCAGTCCAATGGCCACTAAAATCGGATTCTTCCATTGCATCCGTGCCCAAAGGTAACGAGACAATGAGCATTAGATAGTTTGTCCAAGACTTTCACGCGACCGCTGTTGCCAAGATTCGAACTCCGCATGTTTGAAGTTTGTTGTCTGCCCACCAGCCGACTGAATCACGCTGCTATCAAAAGTTCATTTTTTAGAAAAGGTTTTGCTGCCAGAAATGTTCGTCGTGTCTACCTGCAACGGGCCAGACCTAATACTTCTTTCCTTGGTGAAAGGTATTAATTACAGAAAATGACTAAGAGATGAAAAGAGAATTTTTGTTCCTGATTTCAACGCTCTCATGTAAACATGCTGGTAATTGAGAGGGTTTTAGTATTCGATATTTTCTGCTATCTTGATTACAGAATTGATGTATATGTCTGTGACAAAATATACTTAGAATTGCCATGCGTCTACTACATATCTGCGGGACAGATCTTAACTCTGTGCTTTTCTCTTTCAGTTTGTCTACAAAATAAGCAAGCTGTTTTTAACGTAGTTTTAGTGTTCATCGCATATTTTCCTTGCTTAAATTAATCTCAGCACTTAAAATATGCAAGATGAATATTTCATATTCAATTAAAGTAATCCTCCTTTTTACTATTTGATTCAGGAGTAGGAGTGCATCGATTATTTTTTCGTATTTTTCAAAAATTCACAATAAATGTTTTGTATTTTCATAAAAACGATTTGCAACATTTTTCTAAAACGGCAGTTTTGTAGAGAAAACATTTCTCTACAAGATGACATATAATAGTTAATTTTAAAGGTTTTTGGTTTCTTTAAAAAACGTTTTTGATAGAAGGCGTATCGGTTATTAACCGACCGTAGGTTTAAGAAAGACGCTTTCTAAAAGGAAACAAAAAATTTTTGTGAAATGTTTTCTCTACAAAACTGCCGTTTTAGAAAAATGTTGCAAATCGAAAATACAAAACATTTATTGTGAATTTTTGAAAAATACGAAAAAATAACCGATGCACTCCTATTCAGGAGACTCTACTCCACTCCACTCAAAATATAAAAATATCTATCAAACTCTCACTTGATCAATATAAAATAAAGGATAAACTGCATGTCGTGTTTCTTCCGTTCAAATTAGGAACACTCACTCTATCGCGCAGCATTTAAATGTTACCTGTTCTTTGATGAAAATCGTCAAGTGGATGAAGAAAAAGAAAAAAAACGACAAGAAAAAGAGAAAAAAAAATTGAAAAGCTAATGGGCACTGAATGTTGTACAGCTCTTGTCAGTTGTAGGATTAAGAATTTTTTCGTATTGTATAGATTGTTATCTACACTTATTGTGTCCTGTCAAATGGAATGTCTTGTAAAACGTTTTATTTCGATAATAAACATTTAGGAATCAGTTGATGAGTATGGCAAAATGTAGTGTAGGCGTTAACCTGAGGTTTCTATTCATCTTGTTGCTTTACCTCTAGAGCTACCAAGAAAATTCATTGTCATGTCCTAATACAAAATATGAAGAGGTCAATTGTTTCTTATTTTAATAAAGACATTAGGCGCTATTTAACAGTAGGATCTCATGTTCCATAGTCCGATTGAGATATGGAACCACACACAGTCTAACCAAGTAAAAAACCAATTGTATTACTACATAAATGTTTCGAAGATTCAGAGTGGTTTACCAGAAATACTCTGAGATCTTCTTTCGGAAAAGGTCTTTAGAAGTTTTTCGCTTAAGCCCTATCCCCATCCTGGGTCAGCAATGTCGATTTTCGTCAAAAATATCGATTTTAAAAGAAGCACATGGTTGTATAGCCCAAAGTGTCACCGTTCTAATGGCCTAATTTCTGTGTCGATAGGATAGGTTTTAAGCGAGTTTTCAAGAACCCCTATAGGACAAAAAATGGCTTTTTTGCACTTTTATTGCACAAGCGCACGCATGTGCCGTACATGTTCATGCACATCTCATTAGATCCGCCATGGCCGATAATCTATAGCAAAATATCAATAAATTGCTTAACACTCAAACGGTTTAAACAGCAGTAACAATGATATGAGAAATGATCGCTTTCTTGATGCGTATAAACTGACATTGAGGCATTGAATTAATACACGTTCAACAGCAATTAAACTACTCGAGACCTTAAACAGAAATAATTCAATATATTTAGCATTACTGGTGCCGTATAGTAATCAGAACCACGACGAGATTCAATAGTATCGAAAATGACTGGCATTCTCAGGAAAATACACCATATCAAATTTGATAAAGACAAAATGTTGAGATAGATGTCCAAGTTTGTCAAGTGTATTATACGAAATGTCTGCAGACTTAAAATATTACAAGTCAGTGACATGAATATGACGAGATGAAGCAAAAGGATGAGTGCAAACTTTTCTTGTATACATACACTTAATAACTATTAGTATATATCATATGGATGATTTGACAAGCTTTTCTGAATATGTTTTATTGTAAAAGAAGGAAGAGGAAAGTAATAAAGATCCATATATATGTAATGCTACTAGCATATTTGAAACGTGTATCACTTCTTTTTCTTTTTCAAGATTTTTTTTCTACTCATAAGTGAAAGAAGAAGGAAAAAAAATGCATGCTGTAGATTCAAATAAATAAGAATTACACAATTGCTTTGTTTTTTTATACATTTCTTAACTTATAGACAAATATGTCTTCAATAAATAGAAAACACGGCTTATTATCGTTTATTCTCGATCAATTTATGTCACTTCACATATTTAAATCGAATTCAACTCCAAAGGATCCTACGAACATAGAACGATTACACTATATAGCAACTGGTAGTTCTGCAGAAGACCTCTATTTACCATTTACTACAAATATTCAATCAGATATAGATCGAATGTTTGAATTTCCAAACATGATTGTTATTGACCGTGAACAATTATTACCAAATCAATTTGAAACATATCGACAGTTAAAGCTTGGTATACTCTCCCTTGAGTATTCTAATAAAAAATATCCATGTTATGTTAAACTCTACTTTTATTCATCATGCGACCATACGATGAAAAAGTATAAACAATTATTAATAAATCCAGAGAATAAATTACAAATAACTGAATCAAAAGTAGAATCAAATGAAAACAGAAAATATTTTTCACCTGATGATTTTCTTGCTTGGTTTGAACGTAACTGGCCTAGCGAAGCGAATGAGTTAATTCAGAGACATGGTCCATCTTTGTGTTTAACAACAGCCAATGATCCAAATCTACCACTTCCAATGGACCACGTTCCATCATTCCGATGTTATTGCTGGCCAAAGCCAGCCACCTCTTGGGTAATACGATTAAGAAAAAGTGACTGGCCAAATAAAGATTTAATTGATAAAATTGTTTCATTTGGTTGTCATCTCGTTGTATTGCCGCATCCTCTAAGCGTTGACAAAAATGAATGGCGTCTGTCATTTTCTGTTGCTGAAGTATTATTAGCACAATCATTAAATGATTATCAGAAAAAATGTTACCTAATAATGAAAGCTATATTTAAAGTACATATCAATTCAGATTATCCGGATACCATATGCAGTTATTATTTAAAAACGATATTTTACTGGTTTTGTGAAACAACCAGAAAAGAACAGTTTACTTACGAAACCTTGTATGATCGTTTCATTGATTATGCAGATTTGATTGTTGAATGTTTTCGAGAAAAATATATAGAACATTATTTTGTTTCCAATCATAATCTAATTGACCATATGGATGAACATATATTAATGAAAATCGTTGATAAATTTAGTGAAATTAAAATGAATCTATTGAATATCATTGAAAAATGTGAGCAATACTACTATGAAACAAATCGATTTTTACGATTTTCTCCAATTATCGATGAACTAGACAAATCTACTGATGATAATACATGTATTATTGTTTATTATGCATCATTTATTCAAGCACTGGTTTTACAACAACGATCTATTGATTACTCATTATTAGTTACTAGTGAATGCATGGATAGGAATTATTTAGCTAAGTGTTCAGATAATGCAGCAAAATATTTGATAAATGCTGTTGGTACTCTAGCAAATTTGATTGCTGACACAGATGAATGTTCACTACAATTTCTAAAAGCAAATGACATTATTATTAAAATTTGTGAAGTAAAATTATTTACTAACAATGATAAGACATATGAGACAGCTAAAAAAAATTACGATGAGGTCAAAACGAAATTAGAGACTTTGAATACAAACAGTTAAACTTATTTTGGTGTTGACTGTGTCATTCGTTGGTGACGTGTACTATAGTTGAAAATGCCTATAGATCTTCCATTTCGTTACGAAAGATCAAGGTTTGAAAAGACTTTATGCGAGAAGAGGACTCTTGATATGCGAAGTTTCTGGTTTTTCCTGCGGTTATACTGATATTTTTCTCTCGCTTTTTTTTACTAAAGGGGAATCTTCACCAAGATACATTAAATCCCTTATAAAGAGATTTTTTAATTGCTAATGAGCTTTACTTTTAGAGTAAAATGAAACGCGTCCAACATTAATTTTTATCTGCACTTGAACATTCTAGAGAAATATTTTTTATAAATTCTGATAAGAGCCTTATAAGAATCTTACTTGGATCTTATATAAGATTCCGCAAGATAGTCCCGAGAATTCCATACGATAAGTATAAGATTCGTATATGATTTGCGTAAGAGATTGATAAGGAATCCATAAGATCTGGCGAAAAGTCGTGACTTTCTCTCATTAGATCCTTATCGATATCGGATATGCTCCTGATAAGATTCTGGTAAGATACAATTAGCTGCTAGTAACAACTCAATAAAATGTTTTTCAATGATACATTTTCGGTCGCGATCAATTATGAAACTCGTTTCTCTGACCATTTACTATTGAATGATGAGTCATGTAAGTAGTTGTACAGGAAGTTCTTTTGTGACTCTTTCTAGTGCTTTATTAAGACAGGTATGAAAGAAGTTTTATGGTTGTTAACCATTACAAGCTGTCATCAATAATGTTATGGATGAGTTGTTATGGTTTAAAAGCAGTGGACCATAAGGATCGTCTTTAGATTGCCCTTTGGAACTAAGGTTTCTATTATAGGAACAAAATAATTTTCTTCACGTATGAAACAGTATATCATAGTATAGAGTACCTGACTTACAAGTATCTTATATAACAATTCTATAAATTCTTATACAATTCTTATATGAATCTTATCGGAATCTTAGCAGAATCTTATAAGAATTTTATCAAGATCATATCAGATATCGATAAGGATCTAATCAGAGAAAGCCACGATTTTTCGCCAGGTCTTATGGATTTGTTATCAATATCTTATGTGAATCGTATACGAATCTTATACTTATCTTATGGAATTCTCGGGACTATCTTGCGGAATCTTATATATAAGACCCACGTAAGATTCTTAAAAGATTTCTGTTAGATGTTTGTCTGTTACATGCACGTTTCGTGTAAGCTTCCTGACGGTTCCTTATATAAGATTCAATGTCTAGGGCAAGCATTTCATACAAACAAGCATTCAAACCAAAAGGGTGTCGAAGCATTTTCTGAATAGAGGACCTTTGACCTAAAAAAGTGGAGACTTAGATGTGTTTTTGAATAAAAACCATTTGTCTTTCATCTTCCTTTCCTCCACATATAATGATAAAAACGAGTCTAGACCGAAAATCCTAACAGGTACGTGTCTTAATCGTTTTTATGTTATATTCTGATAAAGTCAAAAATATAGATTTTAAGAATAGCACATGATTGTATAGCTCAAAGTGTCTACTTTCTAATGGCCTAATTTTTGTGTCGATAGGATAGGTTTTTTGCGCTTTTATGGCATAAGCGCATTTAACAGAATCAAATTTAGTTTGTGTTTTTCTCAAGGTTGTGTTTTAGCTTCAGGACGTTCGCTACGCACAGGAATTCTCAGTAATGATACATCCGAGAAAGAAAATTTTTTTTGATTTGTAGATAACACCTATAGCTAGGAGTTGAAAGAGTGCGATTTTTAAATTATACTTCTCTTTTTTAAAGAAATGCGAATTTCTAAGAAACTTTCTAAGGATTTTTCAGATTTTAAAGTTCTGTTAAGCACCAGAAATCAGCAAATGAGAAATTCAAAAATCGGGCTCTGCCAGCTCTCAATACCAGGGCTTAATACGAGATTATTACTGTCACCGATTAATAAATACTTCATCTGCTATATATACTGCTACATAAATGTTTCTCTTGAACATAGGAAGCATTTCTATTCAATGTTTTCCTGTTCAGTAGCGTTGCGCATTGTTCGTTACTTTCCACCTACAATATTACACATGATGGATGACTTCCAAAACTATACCTGAGTAGAATCCAAGTAACGCAGATAACTAGTGGAATAACGAAGTCACGAAGTTTTAATAATTGTTGAAACCATATGTACCGATAATCGAACGCAAACTAATATACACTGTAGTTTTTGCAATATTTCTCAGAATGAACAGGCTCGATATAAAATGTACTGAAGAAGCTAAAATATGCACAAGTTGGAAATAGTGATTGAGGTAATAAGTCTGTTAGAACTTTGTTACGTAGGAAGTGTGTAAGGGAAGCCGTCAAAATTCGCATCGGTGAATTTATTCACCGGTGAATATTTTCACCGGTGAATAAATTCACCGGTAATTTGATTGGAAACAAAATTGAGAACAGTATTATTCAATATGCCTGAG